CAGTTATGATTGGTTACGGCATATTGCCTTGGTGGACAAAGGACAATAAAGGTGGGATATACATAGGATCCTGTCTGCTTAAAGTCCTTAAAATATAAAACACATCCTGGTGAATAGGAAATATACTGTAATCAGCAGGCTCCAGGTGATGTTATAACATGAAATCATTTACTTTTCCTGGTCTAGTCAAACTTACAAGGTAGCTAAATTGAACATTTATTCACCCAACATAAAATTGCAGCAAGTATATAATGTATATCTGAGCTGAAGAAAACGAGAGGTTTAGAAATCTGTGTCTGAACAAATATGAAAGCAAAAGAGTTACAAGCCTTTGAAAATAAGGGCTGAGATTTCTACAGTTTGAATTGGATATATAAAGTGATATATAATATATAGATATGTACTATATTCTTATTTTAAAGGGAAAAAATCATGAGAGCACTTGGGACCAATCTCAGACAGACCAGAAAACAAAATTTGCTAAAGTTTACTAAGGTAAGACTTTGTAGAGTTGCATTGAGTTGCATTCTTTGCAATACTGTATGTTCTATGAAAGATGTGTGTGTGAGGGAGGGAAATTTGTGAGGGAGAGAATAACACAATTTTGTCCTGTAATATGCTATATTTGTTGAAATGATCTTGTATGTACGTACAGGTCCTCGATTTATGACCACAATTGAGCCCAAAATTTCTGTTGCTAAGCAAGGCAAGTCAAGGATTAGGTGTATACACACTAATTGTGCTGTATCATAATTATTAATTAATTTTGGTTTAACATTTTGGTCACCTGGGATGCATTTACCAAATCATATATATGTAAAGCAGACCATAATTAAGCCAACAAAGATATAATACAGTATGCAATGAAGGCAAAACAAATGTGTTTGCTGAAATTGACCATTTTATGTAGCTATTACAAAAATACCAAGAGCCACGATCTCAAAACACTGAAGATTGCAGAGGGATGAACATAAGAGTCTTTTGGGTAAGATCAAAGGTCCATCTTTATCAATATCTGAAAAGCTTGCAAAGGAAATGGGCAAATATATTGTCATAAACTTTTTCCATTTCCTACTCAGGCATCTAACCTGTGTTCTAAATGGAGTGAAAGTTGTGCCTGCCATCTTGTATTTTTTGACACCTCCGCTCCACTCTCCATGAACACTCTTGGCCTAATGGCATAAACTATCATTATTGGCAGGCTGATTATAACAATTTATTATTGGGAAAGCCTTAGAAGTATTAGTAATTTTAAACGGGAAAGGTTGGTCCCAATCTTGCTGGGTTTTTTGGGAAAATCTTTTTAGACCTGGCTGTTCTCTCAGGCCTGGGACTTGCAGAGTTAGATGAACCTGTAGTTTATTGTTATTATTGTTGATGTTTATTCTTTTTATTCTGTGTCTGTATTATTTTTAGTTACATCAATATTCCCAGAGTCACTGGTGCAAGAAGCATGATGAAATAAATTGAATGGAATAATACAATGAGAAGGAAACTTTGAACATGAGAAGAGATGTGTGTCACTTTGGCAGTGCAGTATTAGCTGGCTGTTTGAATACCTTTTGTGTTACAGCAGCTGGTTGCACTCCAGAGTGCTGCATTCCAACATGCTGCAGAAATCATGGAAGTGTGTCCTTGTGAATCCATCCATTGGATTAATTAATACCTCTGGTCTATTTAAGAAATCCAATTGTTTCAACCTCTTTCAGATTGGAAAATAAATCTGATTTAAATGGATTCAGAAACCTGATTTGATTGAGGCAATACAATTGTTGAATTCTGTTAATTTGGATTTCAGGCTCGACTCAGAGATATTTAAGTCTTCCATTCAAATCAACTTTGAAGTTTTTTGAATCATTCATTATTTGGGCTATATGCTCTGACTTTGGATAAAATATGTGCAATTTACCAATTTACCATTTTTAAAAATATAGATAACTTTTATTGTTTATCAATGTATAAAATACAAAGAAAAATAAAAAAGGGGGGGGAAGGGGGAAAGAAAATACGAGGTTCAAGGAAAGAAAGACTTCTTACTCTTTTTAGCACAGTGCAAGATAACAACTTTACAACATTTTATATTGTAATTTTTATAATCATTAAAAATTATAAAACATTTCAGAGAATCAATGAAGGGAGGCAAGAATAGTATTTTCATATTTAGTTGCAGTCTTCCTAGTCTTCATGACATTGTTGTGAACTCTCTATTTAGAAATAAACATTCGATTATAGTATTATTTTTACCCATCTTGATGGCTGTAGCACTGATCTAAGGAGAATTTGTGCCTCAAGGACCTCTGACGTGAAGCAACCTGTGACTGATAGGCAGTGTAGAATTAGATGGCTGCTTTGTTTCATTCTAGCAGTCGCTACCACACTGTTACCTGTTGCAGGAACTGTTGGTTGTCAGAGAGAGAATAACATAAAGTTGTGTGTGTAGTGGAATGGCAGTGTATTGTTAGCTGGATGGATATCCAAATGGCACCAGCTGACATTCAGCTGCCAGCCTACGGCACATATTTTGATCATCAGTGACTCGGTGTAGCAAAATATTCAAAAACCGTTTGTCATCAAGAAGATTTATTAGTGTTTAACATTCTAACAATGTGAGTGATGGCACAGTGGTTAGAATGCAGCATTGCTGGCTAACTCTGCTGGAATTGCCAGGAGTTTGATTCCTTCGATCCTGTAATTTGAAATAGAATGTATTGTCCTTCGCTCAAGGTTGACTCAGCCTTCCATCCTTCTGAGGTTGGTAAAATGAGGATCCAGATTGTTCGGGGCAGTATGCTGACTTGGTAAATCATTTAGATAGGGATCAGTGGTGGGTTCTGGATCCCGTTCCAATTGGTACGGTTGGAACGGGCCCTGCGGCGTCCAGCGACACCTCCGTGAGCCTCTGCGATGCTCCAGCTGCTCAGCCCCGAAGACTTTAAAGACAGGTAAGGAGCGAGGGCGGGTGGGCCCTCTGGAGCACCCTACCAGAACGGTAGCCGGTGCTCCAGGCAGGCTCAGGTACGCCCGTACGGGGGCATACCTCCTGCAACCCACCACTGATAGGGATGTATAAAGCACGGTGAAGCGGTATATAAGTGCTATTGCTATTGTTATTGCTATCTACAAATGATCCCTGTTGGGATATTTCTCTTATTAGGCTAGCTCACAGGTTTATAGGCAATACTGAAAATATTTTTCTGTGCACTAAATATTCAGTGGAAGTTTCTTTGGTGTTCTTCATTCTGATATGCTATCAGTTTATACTACTATGTGTGTTCTGTATCTGTGTGGGATGGTTTGGCAGTGTACCTCTTAGTTAGCTGTTGTATATATTCCAGCAACTAAGTACACTTCCATATTATTGCACAATTTAACATCGTTTTGAGGCTAATAAGTTACATTTGCTTGTAGGGAGAGAAGGGCAATAGCCATCATTGTAATTAAATACTTTTAAGGTATGCAGTGCTGTGAAAAAGTGCATTAAGATTTTAATTTGTTTTGTTCCAGATTGGCTTGGAAGACACGTATTTGCCAAACCAGCTTACCTATTGCCAAAATTAATAGTAGATAGTATGTATTTATTTTATTTTCATTTCCAGTATGAAAATGAATCTCAGCTCATATGCATTAAATGGATTTGCAATTCTTCTTAGTATAGGTAATCCTTGACTTACAACAGTTCATTTAGTGACTGTTTGAAGTTACAATGGCAATGAAAAAAGTGACTTATGACCATTTTTCACACTTACGACCATTGCA